CTCAGCAGTGAGTGACGGACTTACCGTTCCTTCTGGCCACAGGGTGGTTCCCAGTGCCGGGAGGACGCTCAAGGCTGTTGCTCCTTTCCCTCTTCTTTGAACTGGGAGAAACAGAACCAAATCAAAGTGGCTTTAAAAATAAGGAAATGTGTGTCTTTGCAGAACTGGAGCCCCAGGTTCAGGAGAGCAGGCTCGCAGCGTGTTAATTTGGCAGCTTTGTGAGCTCACCCGGAGACTGGGGCTCCTTCTCGGTTCCGTCCGCAGAATGTGCGTTCTCCTAAGGCAGGAGTCTCCACTGCTGTAAAGACGGTGAACCACAGCAGCTGGGCAGCCTGCTTCCTGTTCTCACCCTGTGGGGTCTCTTGTGTGTGTTGATCTTAAGATCAAGGGTATTTTCCCCAAAGGCTTCCCCAGCAACGTCTCAGTCTCTTGTCTCGTCCCTGAACTGCCAGAGCGGATGGAGTTAGATCATGTCTCAGTTAATCATCTGACAGAGGACCCCAGTGCCCCATACATTCTCCAAATTAACAACTCCTACTCATCTTTAGTAGCCAGAATAATGCCCCCCCCCCCAACAAAAGACATCCATGCCTTCAACCCCAGAACCTGTGAATATGTTACTGTACATCACAACAGGGGCTTTCCACTTATCATTCAGCTAAGGACCTTGGGGTGGGGAGATTATCTTGGGTTATTAAGGTGGGTCCAGTACAGCACAAAGCTCGAAGGAGGAAGAAGGAAGATCAGAGCCAGAGAAGATGTGAGGATGGAAGTGGAGGTCAGAGAAGAGTGGAGGCGCTACTACTGACTTGAAGGTGGAGGGAGGTGCCACGAGCCAAGGAGTGCAGGCAGCCTGTGGGAGCTGGAAGAGGCAAGGAAAAGGATTCTCCCCTAGGGCCTCCAGAGGAATGAAGCTGTCCCACCACCTTGATTTTAACCTGGAGAAATTGATTTTGGACTTCTGACTTCCAGAACTGTAAGATAATAAATGGGTACTGCTTTAAGCCACTAAATGTGTGGTAATTTATTACAGAAGCAATAAAAACCAGATAAACAAAATCCTACTGTGTCACACAGGGAACTGCATTCACTATCTTGTAATAAACTGTAATTGAAAAAAATCTGAAAAAGAATACATGTATATACATAGCTGAATCACTTTGCTGTGCACCAGAAAATAACACAACGTTGTAACTCAACTATACTCCAATTAAAAAGAAAAAGCCAAAGCGAATACACCATTGTTTCTCCAGGCTGACCTTGAATCAGTATAGACCTTTGATAACATAATAAGAATCTTGTATTGATTTTGAATCTTCTATTGTATGCACAGAGAAGATACCCAAATATTTATGCATTCAACAAAAGGCAAACCCATTCCCTCATCCTGTCTCTACCTAGCCAAAAATGCTACCATTTTGCCCTCCAAAACGGTCCGTGTTGGTTCCTTCGTTCAGCCCCAGTGCCGGGTGCCGGGAAAGCAGAAACAAGTAAGATCTTGTCCTCACTCCCAAGCTGCCGAGACCATCTCAGTCATTTGATTCCATAAATATTCTCACTGTCAGCTCGGAGCTCGTCCAGATGTCTGTTCTGGCTTTGTAACTAGAGCCAGTTTCCTCTGAAGCTTTTCAAACCTGCTGATTTTTTTGTTTTTAAGTTTTAGCAAGGGTCAGGAAGAGCAGAAGACATTGTTAAGCACATCCACAGATAGAGCTATTTTTAGGGGCCCGAGTGGCGGAGATCCGCAGTCATTCTGACCGTTGGGTCCTGGCATCCACAGAGGAGGTTAGCTGCCTGTCTCCTGCCTTCCTGCCCCTTGGACAGAGAGGCTGCTCTTTGGGACTTTTCTCTGCAGTTCTTCATTTCTTCCTCTCACAGGAAGCCTGGGTGCCACAGAGCAGGGGGGTCCCCAGCCTCTGAGATCTAATGCCTGGTGATCTGAGGTGGAGCTGACGTAATAATACTAGAAATAAAGTGTACAATAAGTGTCATGCACTTGAATGAGCCCCAAACCACCACCACCCCCCCACCCCGCCCTTGGTCTGTGGAAAATTGTCTTGCATGAAACCAGTCCCTGGAGCCCAAAAGGATTGGGGACCCCTGCTGCGGAGCAGAGTGGAGGGGTGCACACAGCCTGTGAAGGACCGCTTGTTAGCACACCGCAGTTCAGTTGTTTCTGGGAGGCCTTGGGCTTTCCCGGGGATGATAAATGTCCAGTGGCAATCTGTGAAAGTATCTGGGAAGCTAACAGAAATCCAGGACCAAAGGAATGGAGTTTGGGAGCCAGGCTTCGAGGTGATCCTTTCCAACCATGGCATTCTGTTTTGAGGAAACTGAGGCGTGGGTAATCAGTGACACAGCTCTCGGTCACGTGTGAAGCAGCTTAGCGAAGACCAGAGCTTAGTCCCCGTGGTATCAATTGTGGACAGTTATAGGCTCGGGAACCGAAATAACAGAGCTGAACCGTGAAGCCCTGATACCTGTAAGAGTGTAGATAAGTTAGCTTAGCAGGGTGTTCTGGGCTCTTAGCTCTGCTTCCCATCTCCCGTTGTCTGTAATAAGTGCCATGTGCTGAATGGAGAAATGCACAGACTCTGGAGGTTTGGCCTGGGTTGGAATCCCCCTTACTAGCAGCGTGACCTTGCTCAGATTACCAAAGGTGCTTTCCTTGTCTGTGAGGTGGGGGTGATAGGAACAGCAGCATACCAGGTGAGCTGACTTAGTGCGTTCACATGTGCAAAGCAGTCACCGTGGGGCCCAGCACTTCCTCAGCTCTAACAAACGACCTCCTTCCTGGGACCTGAAGCATCTCTCCAGCACTTTGGCTGACTGCGTGCTTTTTCCGTCATGTGACTGCATCCTAGGGTTTTATTCAGCCCGCTCCCTAGAACAAGATGTTGTTTCTTGTTTTTACTATGGTAAACAACATTTCAGTGACTATCCTCATAGGTAAGGATTTGCTTTCACTCTTGTGTCTTCCAATAAAATTTTTCCGAGTAGAATTGCTGGGTCAAAATGGGAGCTTGTTTTTCTAAGACGTGTCTTGATAAACGCTGCCAGATTTTCCTCCAGAAAAGTACTAGTTGACACTCTTACCAGCTGTGAGTGAGTGCGCCAGTTTCCCTGCGTCGCCAGGTCATTAACTTTTAATCAAATGAAGGCCCTGGAAAAATAGGAGAGATTTCTTCTGGGGATCAAGTGTTCCTAGTCCTTGCTCCTAAGAACCTGAAGGGCGCCCAGACAAGTGGCGCGTGTGATAACGGCGCCCTCTACTGGTTCTCCCTGGTGGAGCAGTGCGAGCGGCCGTAGATGGTCCGGTTGCCACTGGTTCTAATTGAGATGCCAGGAACTATAGGGCAGCAGTTTACCCTTCTGCCCATTTAGAAAGTCAGCCTCAGACGACCTTTAATTCTCACTCAGGTTCCTTTCCAGAAGTACTTAGCCAGCTAGGGGAGAATTTGCTCCGAGGGAGCCCCCGGAACTGTCTGGAGTCATTTTTGGATGTCACAAACTGGGGGCGGGGGCTGCTACAGGCTTTTGGCTGGTTGAGGCCAGGAATGCTGTGAACCACCCTTTAACAAAGAAAGGACCTGAGCCTATGTATCAATAGTGTTAAGACTGAGAAACCCTGTTTTAGAAGAATGGCTGCAGAGGCTTCTTTTCAGGCTAAAATAAAATATAGAAATATCAGATATTTATCACCATTACTGCTATTTTTTGGTTCTGGAAACCTGATAGTTTTGCAGAATAAAATGGAAAATAGGTGGACGTGAAGCAGCACACTGGCATTTCTAGGAGAGAAGGCAGAGAGGAAAATACAGCCCATAATAAATAATGTCACGAGTACTAATGAAGGAGGGAATTTTTTCCCTATTAAGTTGACTTGGTTAAACCGGCAATAAATTCCTGTGGCTTTCCCTTGAAGATCGTGTCTATTTTTTTTAAAAAGATAGTGATTTTGGGGACACTTTTCTTTCTGATTTCATGAGCCCCAGTGTTTTCATAACATTTATAATTGTGCTTTCCAGTGCTTGGTGCAGAATTACCATCTGTAGTTACTATTTGTCTCCCCCTCCTCCATGCCCAAGTAAATGCTGATATAAATGTTGTTTCTAAGAGGAGGAAGGAAGGGAACTTCAAAAATAATCTTAGAAAAGGGTGTGCCTGAAGGGAAAAGTATGACAAGAATTTTGGGAAAAACCAAGCCGTATTTCAATGTACTTTGACATTGGCTGAGTTTGAGGACTTTTCACGCTGGTGTTACCCAAACCCATCAAAAAAAAATTCTCTATTGCTTCATTTTGCTTTAGCCCTGCTCTTCTCTGCACTGCTTGAATTCTAGAATATGTGACTTTATGCAGTAGCTTCACTCGCTGTTCTGAATAGTGCTAGGGGGACGATTTTGCCAAAAGTGGAAAACAAAACAAAACTACAGCTTTTCCCTAAATATCAGATGCTATTTTAAGCATCTTCCTTGAGAAGTATTTTTGACCCAGTGGGTTGTAAAATCAACTTCTGTGTCACAGTCGGTATAATAAAAAACAATAGAAAATATTAGAGGCTATTATTACATATAGTAAAGGTAGCTTTTATTTTGGTAATTATTTCAAGATGTGTAGCCATATATATATATCTTGGTGATTCAGACAACAAAGAATCTGCCTGTGATGCAGGAGACCCGGGTTCGATCCCTGGGTCAGGAAGGTCCCCTGGAGAAGGGAATGGCTGCTCACTCCAGTATTCTTGCCTGGAAAATCCCATGGACAGAGGAGCCTGACAGGCTATAGTCCATAGGGTAGCAAAGAGTCAGACATGACTGAATGACTAAGCACACACATTTATGTCTGTGTGCACAAGCCTGGTGAGAAGTCTGAAAGACAGTGGCTTGGGTTATAGCGCAGTGAAATCTGGCTAGTTTTTCAATTTTTTCATTCTTTTCAGGATCTCAGTGATTTCGACTTGTCTCCTGTCCCTCACGTTTGCCTCTGTTGTTTTTACAGGTGGCACCAGGGAGATCGGATCCGCCCTGACCAGGATGTGCATGCGGCATCGGAGCATAGAAGCCAAGCTGAGGCAGTTCTCCAGGTGAGGACCATGTTTCTCCCAGATCTCAGACACCCCTGATGATTTCAGGTTAAGAAAGCGCTGACGAGGAGCATCACTTGCCTTGAACAGCACGGGTTTCCCGGTGACGTGAAATCCCCACAGCTTGTCTCTCATCACAGCCTGTCACGCTGCTCACTCACTGAACCAGTTTTTTTTAAAATTTGTTTATTTTTGGCGTCTCTGGGTCTCTGTCGCTGCATGTGGTCTTTCTCAGGTTGCGGCAGCGGGGGCTAGTCTTCAGTTGTTGAGCGCGAGTTCCTCGTTGTGGTGGTTCTCTTCTTGCAGGGCACATGCTCTAGGCACGCAGGCTTTAGTAGTTGTGGGGCACAGGCTTAGTTGCCTTGTAGCATGTGGGATCTTCCCAGACCAGGAATTGAACCTGTATTGGCAGACAGATTCTTAACCACTGGACCTCCAGGAAAGTCCCCAAACATCTGCTATGTGTCGTTTCCTTCTCCTTCCTGGAGAATCCCATGGACAGAGGAGCCTGGCGGGCTACAGTCCACGGGGTCACACAGAGTCAGACACGACTGAGCGACTAACACTGCTGTGTGCCAGGCACTGGTCTGGGCCCTGGGAATACGGTGGAGAACCGGATGGCCTGGTTCCCCGCCTCGCAGAGCCCATACCCCCCCACTTTGGGGTCTTCTCTATGTGTCTCTCCTCCCTCCATCAGTGTGGGGAGCCGGGCATCCCACTGAGACCTCTGGGCCCGCCCTACAGGACCCTCCCAGGAGGAGAAGCTGCGGTACTGGACAGTGGGGTGTGCATGCCATCCCGTTACCCAGGCCCTGAGTGCATCCTCCAGACCCACCTAGGAGTGCAGTGGTGGCTCGCAGAAGCTTCCACACTGCCAGCCTCGTTGTTTCACGTGCGTCCACAATGGGTAGAAATGACAGTGGCTGGCATGGGGATTTGGAGTCGCCAGTGTTCCAGTGAGAGTGGGACGTCCTTCCAACAGATCAGCGTAATCGTCAGTCTTGCTGAGTCTGCTTTGTGAATTGCACGTTGTGTGAGAGGCTGCCTAGGCGGAAGCCCTCTGACCCTCTTGCAGGGCCATCTCAGGTTGCCAAGTGTAGCAGCAAGCGCCTAGTCTTGAAGTCACCCGGGCCTGGGTTTGAATCTCGGGCTGGCCGCTAGTGTGCTGCAGTATGGGGCTGGGGTCTCAGCCCCTGGCAGATGAGTGTGGGAATCCTGAAGGGCTCTTGTGCAGATGTACACGGTGTCCACACAGCAGAAAGCACTCACTGGAGCTGGTGACGAAACCGAACTTCTTCCTCCCCTCCTCGCCCCTGGGGCGTACGCCCCGTGATGGCACCTCCTTCCACACCCATCATCTTGTTTACCCTCGGGCCAGTCTTGTGACCCTCATCCCATCATAGTGATGAAGAGACGCCAGTTCCATCAGCCACCGTGTATTGAGCACCTACTATGTGCCGGGCACCGTCTTAGGTGTACGGGGCATAGCCCTGACTAGGACCACATTCTGCATTCACAGGGCTTACGCCGCAGACGCTATAGACACCTGCCAGACTGTCAGGCGGTAATGAATGATAGTGGGGAGAAACACGTGGGGTGGGGTGGGTGGTGGTTGCTGGATACAGGCTGGGCAGGGAGCATCTCTGTTCAGAAGGACAAGCTGAATGGAGACCTGGAGGGAGTGAGGCTGGAGGAGGACGTGCGAGGGTGGGAGCTGCCGGGAGACCCTGGTTAGAAAGCGGGGAGGTCATACCAAGAACTTGGAGATTTTCAGCAGGCCCAGGATCCAAAAGCAGTCTGAGTACTGCCTTTGTCATAGTTCTCACCACCATCATTCAAACAATTTATGGGCATTTTCTAATTTTCGACAACATTGCTGTTATGTAGGCTTGGGTTGATTTTCCTTCCATTGTACAGAAAACCCTGTGTCCCATGATTCATGATTTCTCTCCATGGGGTGCTGTCTTTCCACTTGTCTAACCGCGATCTTTTTGGAAATCTGCACAAAATAAGGAGACCTGGAGACCCTTGTCCCTCTGATCCTCTCTAGGCTGTCCGCAGTCTGCAGTCACAACTCATTATCCTGAAAGCACATCAGAATCACGTGGGTCTTTTTTTTTAAAGTAATTCTGGGGCCCCACCCCAAGTTTCTATCAAGTATTAGGTGAGGCCCAGGTGTCTTTTTTAAAGTTCTCCAGCTCGTTCCCTTGTGCAGCAAGGGGCATGACCACTTTGGTCTGCAACCTTGATTGTGAATACAAGTGTTGGAATTTTTTAAAAAAGGCGATGAGAAGGGGTCACACCAGCCAGTCACATGTACAGCTTCTTAACAGTCATTGAAAAGCATCCTGAGGACACAGTCATTGTGAAATTGGAAGGTTTGGAGGTGAACTTGGGCTTAGGGTGCTGCCTTGTCCTGCTTCAGGTAATTGTGATTCAGGTGTGTTTTGACAACCGAGTGTAAACCTTGACAACAGATTATATCTGAGTAATTTCTCCTTCTCTTTGTCTTTTTGTGCAAGTGCTTTAATCGATTGTCTGATAAACCCACTTCAAGAGCAGATGGAAGAATGGAAGAAAGTGGCCAACCAGCTGGATAAAGACCACGCAAAAGGTACGGGGCTAACACATGTCAGTCTCAGATGGCAGGTCACCGGCTGCTGCTAGTGCCTATGCCCGCGTCACTGATGTCACCTGGAGGACCCCTCCCCGCCGCCACTCCTGTGGGCGTCTCAGTGTTGGAGGGTGAGGGATGGGAAGTGATCCCACCGCAGGGCTCAGAGCTGGGTTTGGGGCATGCAGCGTCTCTCAGGGGATGCCGTCCTCATCCCATGGCGTCAGTTGTGATCAGCTGAATTCAAAGTGATTGTAACCTCAGGCTTAAATGCTAGAGACTCACACTTCAGGTGTTTCAGCACATTTTGAAAACCAAACTTTTTAATGATTTTTGAAAACCAAACTTTTAAGGAGCCTTCAGTCTCCTGCCCAGAACTGGCCATTCTCTTTGTATGTATCTTCAACCGGTGGGTCTCAGAACCTCATGTGCCAGCTCTGGGGACTGACTGGTCCAGACAGTCATCACCCCGTCAGTCTTCCTGGAACCAAAGGGTAGGGGTGCTGGTGGCATGGAAGGGTCAGGAGACCTTGCTCCCAGCATCATACAGCCTGCAGTGATTATGGTGGAGGGAAAGCGTGTGGACGGGTTTGAGGGATGAAACTGGAAAAGGTTGACTAACAGTGATGCCAAGAGCATATAAAAGAGAGCTCTGATAGATGCCAAGAGCATATAAAAAAGAGCTCTGATAGGCTCACGGTGGGAGGGAAGGAAAGGACTGGGATGGCTTTGTGGGAACTGGTCAAACTGGTGATTAATTGACTATGAGGGTAGCAAAGGAGAGAAGTATCAGAGCCAACTGTCATTTCAGATATTCGTGCCTGGGTGACAGAGATGCCAGCAACAGAAATGGGAAAGTTCGGAGTGGGCATGAGCTGGTGGGGGAAGAGAAAAGTGTTTGGTGCGGATGTGGGTCATGTGGACTGCCCCTCCTCTGGGTCCACAGCATCCAGCCTCAGTATTAATGTGAACGTAAGGCAGCCAGGCCTTTCCCACTTCTCTCCCATGTGGTCTAGTTTCTCCTGTAGTCTGAGATGCTCATTTTTGAATTGTAGCATCTGGCTAGCATCTATCCACGTGGATTCTTCTTGGAGTGAAGCCCTGTAGATTTGGGCCTTGGGAAAGTAGATAATACTGGAAGTATTTCCTGATACTTATGCTGAGAAATTGTGAATTTTAGCATTTTTATTGAAGTCTTCCCAAATGCCATCTTTTCTCAGAGCTGGTATGAATGAATACTGAAGGAAAAGACCCCGGTGCATTTTGTCAGTTTTCGTGTTCATAACCCCTTTGCTGTAAAAGGGCATCAGAAGATTTTTTACCATTTCGTATTCCAATTAAGCTATTTATTGCACGTCAGAGTTTATGCTTTCAGCAATAAAAGTAATGGCTGTTACTAAAATGTTTTCTGTTGAGCTAAGTGGTAAGATTGTTCAATATTCTTCTCTCTCTTAGAATATAAAAAAGCTCGCCAAGAGATAAAAAAGAAGTCCTCAGATACACTGAAACTGCAGAAGAAAGCCAAAAAAGGTAACTCTACAAATTCTGCCATTAATATATGTTGCTTTGGGAAAAATGAACACGTGCTTGATTTTTCTTTGAAGTAGAAAGTCTTCAGTCAGACTTCCTTACATATAATGGTCCTGTGAACAGATAGGAGCTAATAGAATCTATCAGGACCAAAGTCCCCAAGTGCAGAATATCTATTAATTTGAGATACAAAGTGGTACTTGACTTGTTCCCTCCCCCAACCTGATCTCCAAAATTTGACAGTTTCCATGTCTATCGTGTGTTGTGATGAGACCTATAAATTTCTTGGAAGCCTTGGGATAGTACATAAAAGCCTCTATGCAAATGTCCTATAGTAATTATTGCAGAAATTATGTAATTTTCTCCTCCATCCTTCATAGCCTATAATCTCCAAAACCCTTTATTAAGTCTTGTGAATATGTTAGAAAAGCCTGCAGTGGGAGCCTGGGAATCATGCCTACATAGGGAGATTTTTCATGAGTGTTCTTGAGGGTGGGAGCCAGGTAAGGAAAGTGAGACTGCTGGTGTAAGACCCCTCCCCCTAGCCGATCATCATTTACAGACCAGTTAATTATCAGATCCGTGACCCAGCTTTGCTCTTCCAGCTTGAACTGGGAGTTTGAAGAGAAAACAATCTAGCTACATCCACTTTGCAAGCATTTTATTAAGACCTAACAAGGTATAGGGACTCTTAAACTTGAGAATGTAACATTTCCTCTAGACTCTTCGCAATACACAATTTTGAATTTGCTGATAAAATGGTTCCCCCTCTCCATCAGGATGCTCTGTGGGTGGGTAGTCTTTAGCGTTTGTTTGAGACAACTTTTTTAGGTAGACATCTCCAAAACCAAAGTTCCCCTTTCCTAAGAAGTGGTTCTCACTTGGAATTAAAAGAAACATTGGGAGAGATGGGACACTTTGGTAGAAGAGGAGTGAGGATAGGACAGACTTTTCAAGCTAAAAGTCGTCTCTCCCCACCCCCACCCCTGCGCCCTGGTTCTTATAATAACCAGGAGACCATCTCAATATAAAGGCAGCAGGATTTTCACTCATGATCAGTTTTTCAATTGGTATTGGCCCCAGTTGTTCCTTTTGGATGTGTTTTCCTGTTCTTGGTGCTTCTGCAATTTCCATTCTAACTTAGGCACCTGGGAGCTAGTATTCCACAAGTGGAATAGGTTTTGTGGCCAGGAACATTTTAGTGAGTCTAGAGGTAAATGTAAATAAAACTGTCACCCTATTCCATTGTATCTGAGGTTTCTTGGAAGAACAGGTTGTTAAAAATTTGGAGCTGAACTCTACCTAATTGACACCATGCCAGCTTTGAGATAAGAGAGCTGAATGGCTTTGCAGAGAGGGTCCAAGTCTATGGACTTGAAAAAGATTTGGGAGTTTGGTGGAAAGGTTGAGGTAAGGAAAAAGTAGCTGTTTTACTTTCTCTCTTCCAGAATTTTCTTTTCAGAGGCCTAAAGTTCTTGGCTGCAGTGATAATCCTTTTATCTGAATTCTGCCTGGAGACTGAAACAGTCTTTTTCTGTCACTCAAAGTCACTGGCATTGTCCAATTAGCGGAATTTGGACCTGCGGGGAATTCCTGATAGGTGGATTGCAATGCAACATAAAAGGAAGTTTCTGGCAATTAGACTTGCCCAGCACCGCTTGGGCTGTCTGGAGAGGATAACAAGCTTCCCATCAAGGCACCGGCTGGAAAAAGTCAGGAAACATAGGGTGCTGGACTGTATTACGTGAGAAGATGCTGCTGGTCCTGGGACTTGGGAATAATCAGCTTTTAGTTGATTATTCAGGCACTTGGACCTGAAGGCTGAGACAGTGGAGGCTGTGATCAGGGGTTTCTGATCCATCTTGTCAACCCCAGTCCTATAGCTGATGGTCTTGGGCACTGTGTTCTTTTCAGACAACAGAGCCATGACGGTGTTCTTATGTCTCCAAGCCAAATCAGATCAGTAGCTTAGAGTTTTCCAGATGATTTTCTAGTTGATCCAGGGAACAACTGGAAAATTATTTTTATTTATTTCCTTTATAAAAATTTTTTTTCTTCTGAATTATGTAAGTGCCTTTTAAAAATCACATTGGTGTATTTCTGGGGTGACTGGAGCTTCCTAGGAGGTACCAGAGTCATCCTTCTGAGTGAATTCTTATTATGAAGGGCTCTTCTAGAAGATATATGACCTGAGAATGGACTAGAAGCACTGCAAGTTAAGGGCTGGAGGAAATATGGTTATTTGAGGCTCTGAGTTATTTTTGGGGGTCTGGTTAGCTGACGTTTTCCTTTTTGCTAAGATGCCTCTCTATCGCTTTCATCTCCTTCAAGTGGTAGCTTCCTAGACTCTTGGCTTATAAAGTGTTGGTAGATCCTTCTGAGATTTGCACCATGTGTTAGGATGGTTTGAACACATTTTTTTTTTGTCCTGATAGAACTAAATTTGGTTTATATAGCCCAATAATCACTTCCTTTTAAATGTGTTTTCAGGCAGTTGTTGAGCAGCTTCATGCCATTCCTTTTTGCAAAACTGTGATCTTTGATCTAAAAATTCTTCTGACTCTTCTTTTCAACATTTAAATGCCTTTATGCATTTAACCATGGATTTGGCATTCCCTTTGACATAGACACATATGGGATGTGATTTTCGCTTGCTACTAATTTTACCTTAAATTTCACTCTGCAGCTAAATCACCTTTTGCCACATTCTGTCTTTGACACTTTAATACTATCCTGTAGATAATGGTAGTTTATAGCCTAAAGGTATTTAAATATCACTGTCAAAAAGTGTTTAATGTTTTTTGGGGCTTGATTAGACTTTATCTTAAAATCGTTTTAAAACAATTTGACATTTGCTCCAGCCATGGGTGAATATACCTATTTTTGTGGAAGGCAGGCTTCTTGAGTACCTATGGGGCGTAAACCTAGGTGGGAGTTGGGGGCTGGAGGGAGAGAGGGTCCCTGCCCTCAAGAAGTTCCAGGCGAGGGCCAGGGGTCCACGCATGGGGCAGGGTCCGTCTTGCTGACAGGTCAGGGCAACAGGACAGAGGTAGCAGGAGGGTGGAAAAGTGGCGTGGGGCCGACCCAGAAGCCCAGGCTCTGAGTGGCGTCTCTTGAACCCTCGTCAGGCCCTGCTACCTGACATCAGCTCTTGGCTTTTGAAGTCCTAGAGTTGGCTGTAACCCAACTGGCGGAAGTAAGAGCGGATCTGAAATGAGAAACATTTTGTGCCATTTGCCCACTTCTGCCACCTCATCAGGCAGTCAGCAGCCTTATTTCTCATTTAATTAATTCTCATATTGTCATTAATTTTACCTAAATAATTATGGTAAAGCCTTCCATTTCCATCTACAACTACTTTTATCAGAGACATTGAGGGAGGAAACTGCTGGAACATTTTAATATGTCAACCCTTGAGCCTGACCATTGAAATAGTTGAATGTGTCATCTTTCACCAGAGACTGCAGAGCCGATCTTATAAACCTAACAAACAGACTCCCAGAGTCCCATATCAGCATATTATTCACTGTTATGTGAAAGTTTTAAGTTCTTTAAAAATTTTCTTTTTTTCATTTTCACCCCAGCTTGAACTTTGGATGCTGGCTTCCTCAGTGACTTCCCGAGTTACAGTAAATTACACCTGAAAGCTTTTCTTGTGAAAGCATCTTAATTGACTTCTTACAGGAATATATTCTTCCTCTCTCTTTCTAAGGAAAAAAACCTTGTTGCCTTCTCTAGGACTGACGATTACAAACTAGGAAGGTGTCTGTTTAGATGGGAAGTAAAGGCTCTTAGCAAGGCGGGGTGGGACCTGGGTTGCAGCTCTCAGTGGCTGTGGGTTTAATCGCCCTGATGTAAAATTCCGTGGCAAGCCATGGACTGTTTTAACACAGGTAAGACTGCTGCCCGAATACCAGTTTGACTTTATTATTTTCCTTTTTGTGTCAATTGTGTATCCTGCACTTTCTCACCGTGTGCCCCCTGCCAGTGGACGCTCTCGGTAAGTCTCTCATGCTGACTCTGGTGGCTGGTCACGGCGTGGTCCTTGCTGTGGGCTTTCCGTGGTTGTCCAGACCTGCGCTGGTTGCTCCAGTTTTCCTCCCAGTTCAGAGCCATCAATGGTGCCTACTTGATCTTCCGTAACTTTAAGAAAATTGTGTGTGCGTGTGTTTCAACCAATCATTTTCTTTTTTTGAAGTTTGACCCTTTAACGGGTTAGCTTAACATTCTAAGAGTCTTTACATCCTCATGATTCAGTATTAGACTCATGGAAAAAAGAAATACAGAGTGACTTAAACCCTCATTTCCACAGGAAAAAAATACATGTATACATACATATCTAAGTGTATATGTGTGTATTTACATCACAAACAAAACATGGAGAGCTATACTTAATAACTTCTCAAAATAATTCCCAAATCGGATTTGGTTTTATTAAGCTTGTCAACTATCTTTAACTTAGTCTGCCCAGGACCATTTGGTTTTTTCAAAACCAATCATTTATTTAAAAAAAAAATCAAAAGTATTTCTTATTTCAGCAGAGTTTGTGGAATGTTTCATTTCGAAGGTATCAGATCTTCAAATTCAATAATCACAGTGATTCTTCTTGACTAAATGTTGACCCTCATTCTGTGGGTGACGGCGCTACTGAAACTTCAGGTTGCTTTCGGCGTCTCGTGGCTGTCCTTCTGTCTTGGAAAGGTCTGTCTGTGGGCTGTCCATGTGGTTTCTCTTGCCTGAGTGTGCCTGAGTGTTCTCTGAGCCTTTGTACTGAACAGCTCTAAAGAGATTTTTGTGTTAAATTCTGTCGTCTACGAGGAACCCAAACCACACGGTCCCCTCTGGCAGGTGGGGCCGGGATGACCTCCTGTCTCAGGGGACACAATTCTGCCCCCTTCCCGTCATGGTGACTTTGGGGTAATGTCCCCCACTTTTTAAAAGTGATAATCCTTTCCAGTCCTCAATGCTGTGGTTATGCCACAGCTTCGTGTACCTTTGGGAGGAAGGTAAGACACAGTTCCCCTTCTGCTTATTGTGCTAAAATTCATATAACATAAAATGGACCATGTTAACCCTCTAAAGTGTACATTTCATTGGCTTGAGTGCATTCCCAATGCTGTGCAGCCATCACTACTAATTTCAGGATGTTTTCGTCACCCCAGAAAGACATCCTCTGCCATTTAAAACAGTCATGCCTTATTTTCCCTCCCCTTCAGCTCCTGACAACCATTCATGTGCTTTCTGTCTATATGGATTTGCCTATTCTGGACCTTTCTTATAAAGGGAATCATATAATATGTGGTCTTTTGAGGACACAGAGTTTTATGAAAACCTTTGCTTGGAAGCCTGGCGTGAGTTCGTCTATGGAATAAATGGGGCATGCTATTTGTTTTAAATGATGGGCAATGGGATTACGGATGAGTGAAGGAACCACACAGCCTTTTGGCTCTGTGACTTGGATTCTGCTTATCCTAGGAAGAGTCCCTGCAGCCCCCTCTAGTTCTCTCTCTCGCAGGGGCTGTCTCCCAGAGCTAAGCCACAGTGACATACGATCATAGCAGTGAACTTGGGCGTAAAGATGTAAGAAAGCTATTTGACTTAAAGCCCTCTTAAATTTTCTTTTACAAGTTTTAAATAATTTTGGAACCTGGACATGTGTATTTTAACAACACTTCATGATAGTTAAAATGTCTTGGTTTAACAAAAGAATACACACACACACACACACACACACACACACGGAACTTTCTTTCAGTCAAGTCAGAAGTATTTACATTGAATCCTTCAGAAGTATTTATCTTGAATCCTGCATGAGCAATAACTGAGGGCCCGCACAGGGAAGACCTTTATAACTCAATGAAGTGTACTGAGACAGGGGTACGTTGCTCCCTCCAGGAACGGAGACTCTAGTGGAGGCAAGCCAGTTATATTTGTCCCTCGGGTTTCAAGGGGATTTGTTCCAGAGTCTGCCGCATACCATGAGATGCTCAAGTCCTATAGTCAGCCCTTCATATCTGCGATTCCACATCCACGGACTCCACCAAGGATTGTAAACAGTACACGAGCCACAGTTGGTTCAGTCTGCGAATGCAGAACCCGTGGGTTTGGATGCCGATTCTGTATCTACTGAAAAAAATCCATGTGCAAGTGGATGTGTGTTCAAACCCGTATTATTCAAGGGTCAACCGTAGTTCAGTCTGGTGTGCTCAGCGCCGTGATGAGTATCAGCAGAGGGTGCGGCACTGGGGCAAGGTGCAAGGAACCCATTTATGCTTGGTGTGGGCAGGTGATGAGAAAGATGAAAAGGGATCGGCTGGTGGAGAATGGGGCAGGGGCTGCTCAAGGTTCAGGGAAGGGTGTGAGCCATCATCATTTACACGCGGGCACCAGAACCGAAAGGAAGGGTGACCATGCTGCAGGGTGGGGGGCGTTTAATGTGTGACCCTGAGTCAGCTTTAGGGGTGAACTGCGAGCCACAGTGACCCCCACTGCCCATCCTCAGCTACCTGCCTCCAGATGGTTCTATTACTCAGCCCCATTTCTGATCACATCCCGTTCTAGACTGACTTTCCCCCCATCAGCCTTCTTTTCCTCCACGTGGAGAAAGCAGAACACTGGAGTGATGCCGAATCCTTTTCACTGGCTCAGTGGTTTCCACGGCCCCGGCCGCATCAGGGTGAATGTTTGCATTTCCTGCTGGTTTCTTCTGCACTTACGAAACTGGCAGAAACCCCTGATGCCCCAGAAACTGCAGTCAATGCGTGGATGGTTCTCCCTGCTCAGTGGTAAAAGCTGAGTGTGTCTCAGCCCCCTCCAACCGCCCCCCTACCCCCGCTTCAGTTTTTGAGGACGAGTAGTCCTGGGAGTCCTCTTGCCCGGAGGGCGCTCCCACCTACAAATCTGAAGTCCGGGTTATCTGTTGGTGGGTCACCTGGCTTCCTTGCCAGGCATAGTACAGAGGCTCTGTTCCCTTTGTCGAGTTAGGGGAGATGGAGAAGAAGCAGACCGCTCAGAAAGTGGTGTGGCCCACACAAAGAGACCCTTGGGTGTGCCTCCAGGCGTGGTCAGAAATTGTCCCCCCAGGGCCTCCTGAGTGACTGGAGTGAGCTGGAGCTGGAGGTGGCCTGCCCCGAATTGCTGGCGATCCGAACGCGAGACCCAGCCCTGGAAGGAGGCAGCAGCACCAGAAGTCTCCCCTGGATGTTTTCTCTAACCACCTCCCTCTGATGCATGTCAGCTCTCTGAAAAATGACACCCCAAAATAAAAATCCTTCCTGAATGCTGAGATGAGGGGCTACAAAGAGCTGGTCCATGGTTCTAGGCTGTTTTCTCCACTTCCCTCTTCCCTCCAGTGAGCATGCCTGGAAGGGGTAGATTGCCACATCAGTGCAATTGGGAAACATGTACCTTGGGCCAAAACCAACGATTGTTCTCTATTGGAACCAAAGCTGGAAACGTTCCCTCTGAGGGCAAGGGGGTGGCTGTAAATGCAGACAGGTGATCCTTGAGGCCCTCCAGGGCTTGTATGACCACTTGTAGCCTTGAGATCTCTCTGGACTTTTAGATGCCACTGCGCATAACACAGCAGGGAAGACTGTTGAGTCACTGCTTCCTTCCACACTTGGGAAAGGTGTGATAGGAACCTGCGAAATATTTGAATGGGTACAGTTTTACTCGATGGGACAACCTGTGTGAAGTGGACAGGGGAGGACTTTTTAATGAGTCAGCAATGGAGAGCCGCGGCCTGACATACGTTCTGGCCCAGGAAACGCCAGGTAAAGCCATCAGCAGAATGAGCAGGGAGAAGGGAGAGGCCAGTGGGTACGGCCAGCCGTGCCAGCCTGGGCTACCAGGCTGATGGGGAAAAGCATGCCAAAGGGGCAGCCTGACGCCCTCCGTCTTAACAGCAACAGTGGTCAGACTTTCCTCTTTAGACCCCGTGTGGTTCGGTGAGCTGTCCCTGACTGTGGTCGGTAGAGATGTGGGAATCTAACCCAAGAAACTCCCGCAGGGTACTCTTGCACGTGTGGTAAACGTGTGGAGTCTTCGGAGGCCAGGGGATTCATATTTCATACCTGGGAATGCTAGGTTATAAACAGACTGTGCAGATCCACCCGAGGCCCAGAGCTGTGAGCTCCTTTCCTTTGCAGAGCTGGTCTCCGGGAAAGCCTTGGCCTGCTACAGCTCATCAGATGCCTTGCTTGTGACTCTGGCTGCAAATGGCTGATTGCAGGAGTCAAAAGAGATGCAGAGAAATGTCCCTGTGCATGAGGAGACTTTGTCAAGGTGTAGATCACCTGGCTTCCCTGTGGCTGCATTTAGAAGCTGGGAAGATGATTTTAAGGGGGCAGGGGGAGGACACAACAGGAGCCCAGTGCTTTTCTTGGTGTTAGTTTTGCCAGAAGGTAAAAAGGATGACGTGCTTGAAATACCCATCCCCCACACGCCATGGTGTTGATTAACCCCGCGGGTGGTGTGGTGCAGGGCTAGATGGGCAAATGGGGGTATAGTCCTGCCTTTCTCAAGTTGCGAGCCTGTCACAGTTTTTACAGGGTTAATTGTTTCACTTCTGGTGCCTCTCTTTCATTCATAAATTCTCCATGATTGCCACAGAGGAGCCCTGTGAGCCGAGTGTGTCTTTGCACGTTCAGGATGTAGGTATCAAGGGCCTCCTCTGGGCTTGATCCCCTTGGTGGCTATGGAGGTACAAGTGGCTTCTGTACTCGAGCTATCCGCAGGATCGCAAAGGCATCTGTGTTCTAACATCAGTTCTCTGACACCAACCAGGTGTCCGCCAAGTCACATCAGTTCAGATACTAACTACCCGGGGTGGGCTTAGACCCCATGGGCTAAGAACAAGATTTTCTCCACTTCAGTCACCAGCCACAAGTGAGATCCACAAGCTACCCACCTGTGTGCCCAGCCAACCTCAAATTTAGGGTTTCCCATGAACCCCCTCAGGTTTGACAGTTTGTTAGAATGACCCACAGAATTGAGGAA